TGACTGGTGTTTCAGACAGACGTGCGACATCTTTAAAGAGAAAAGAAAAATCTGACCTGACCTCTGGCTGGACCCAGAGTTTCTGGGGGTAAGCTGAGACAGGATGTCACTTTAGGAGGCTTCGACACCCAGCAGAGACCCTCTGTTTCAGGAGATCTACAGCAGAAGGGAGAAAACACGGGTCTTAAGTGGCAACAAAAGAGGGATATGGTTTCATCTCTGACACAGTCTTTGGAGATGCTAGGAGATGCTTAAGTTTTAGGGATTTGTGGGCAACTCCAGGATAAGGGTTTTTGATTCTTGTTCTCTCTCTCTCTCCTTCCCCCACCCCCCACATCTTGCTACTACCCAACGTGTTTTGCGAACAGTCATCCTGACAGACGAGGAGGTCCAGAGGAAGAGAGAGATGATAATGAAGCGCAAGGAGGAGGAGGCACTGAAAGAGAGCATGAAGCCCAAGCTGTCGGAGGAGCAGCAGAACGTCATCGACATCCTGCTCGAGGCCCATCGCAAGACCTACGACCCGACCTACTCTGACTTCACCCAGTTCCGGGTAGGCTCCGGGGTCCGGTGTATGTGCGTGTGTGTGTTTTCTCCTCTCCTTCCAGCCAAACCCACACATCCACTATGACAATGAGGCCATCTGCTGGCAAATAAGTCTGGATCGTGACTTCTGATGGGTTTCGAGCAGCAGTTCTCAGTTCTCAGCCTCTTCCTTGCTGTCACCCTGTCTAACAATGCAGTTTCAGGAGAAATTTCACCCATAACCATAACGGGAGGTGGAGGCCACAACCCCTGACACCTTTTTTAGGACCCATCGACTGAGAACGCCCAAGCTCAGTTGCCAGTTTGATGACTCCGTGTGAAAGCGTCTCCCCGGCCCTCAGCCTTGTTCTCTTGGCACATCACCCCTGTGTAATTCAGACCCTTGTTACGAAGAGCCATCTCCACTTTCCAGAGTCCGAATTGTTTAAGTCAGGGCTGGGTGTCTTTTTGGAAAGCATGAAGGAGCCTGGCTGCAAGATTGGCATGGGGTCCTGTGGTCCACGTCAGACTGGATGTCTCTTTTTTTGTCCATAAAGTGTATATTTTTTATTATGCCAAGCGCTTCAGTTAAGCCAAACTCATGCAGCTCCATAGATGTCCTTGATAGAACATGCTGAAGATCCATCCCATTAAGTCAAGCATGCTCCTAGTTTTAAATCTGGCATGGGGTCGGGGGGTTTCTCTCAAGTTCCCCCTAGTTAGAATACATCTATCCTGCTTGAGACCTTTCACACACTCTCTAGTTATAGTTAATCATCAATGGTTATTAACCCATGTCCTGCAAAGGAAACGATGTGACCAAGCAGAACTGGAAATGGGGATCTCGAAGTAAAAATACCTGTGGTTGTAGCTACTGGAAGTAGACTTTGAAATGTTTCTCATTCAGATTTGGGGCATTACCATGAAAATATACCATCTCTGGGACAAAATGTGCTCACCCACAATGGGGAGTGGGTGTCTGTAAAAACCCAGTGATCTGATACTTTTGACACAGTATTGTGGGAAGCAATCAGCACTGACCAATGTAAAGCAGTGGAGCTCAACCTTTTGGTCCCATGGGCTGGAAGGGCAGTGCCTGGTCTCTCCGCAGGCCAGAAACAGCTGGTGAGCCTGATCCAGCTGTGCAGCAATGAGGGGTATGGCCAGCTGTGTGGGAGGGGGGAAGAGGGTATGGCTTGGTCCCAACCCAGCCACACAGGGCTTGGGAATTTGGCAGTATGAATTGCCACCGCTCCCCAACCACCAAATTTCCTGACCTGTGGGGAGCTCTGTGGGCTGGATGCCATGGCTGTGCAAGGCAGATTTGGCCCTTAGGCTGGGGGTTGAGCACCCCTAATCTAAAGCACCACGGGTGGGGCTTCCAAAAGCATGGTTGCATTATAGAATCATAGAAAATGAGGGTGGGAAGGGACCTCAGGGGGTCACATCTAGTCCAACCCCCTGCTCAAAGCAGAACCAGCCCCAACTAGATCATCCCTGAGCCAGGCCTTAAAAACCTCCAAGGATGGAGATGCCACCACCTCTTTGAGTGGTGAGGCACTTATTCCAGTGCCTCACCACTCTCCAAGCGAGAGAGTTTTTCCTAATGTCCAACCTCAATTTCCCTTGCTGCAACCTGAGCCCATTGCTCCTTGTTCTGGCACATTGATGTCATTGGAACCAGAACCGTACCATGCCGAGCACTTTGGAAGCTCTCCACCCAAATCCCGAGCCAGTAACAGCCTCTTTCTGTCGTACGCCGCTCTGTAGTGGGGACTAATGTGTGTGAACCCCACTGTGGTAGCTGGGAAGACACAGAATAAAGGAGAATGCAGCCATCCTCTGTCAGCCTTGTGAGGTCTAAGCAGCACCTCCTTTCTCTTCCAGCCTCCTGTGAGATCCAGCGAGGACCAAAGACTGACCAGGTCATCATCTGTCCTGACGCAGGGTTTTTCATCGGAAGATTCCTCGGAGCCTTTTGGTTCTTCTCCAGGTACTTCGTGGTACAGGGGCACCTCTGCCAATAGCAGCCACAGGGGGAAAGAAAAGCAAGAGACAAAGCCTGACATAGGTTTTTGAAGGGAGTGATGATTCAGACTCGCATGCTTTCTTTCTGAAGTGAAATCCTCCACTCCAGCAAAGCCCCAAAGTGCACTCTTGTCCCTATTCATGGCTTGAAGTGCATCAAGGGCTTTGCTGCACTGTGCCATAGGTTTTGTGTCAGAGCCTGCAAAGAAGACCTCTTTGTAACCTCTCCTAAAGAGCCCAGGGACCTGAGCACTGGCACGGGGCTGTATCATCTCTTCGCCTTGCCGGCAACCAGCTCAGATGGCAGAAGTTTATCAAAGAAAGGGAAATTCAGCCCCAATAGTGTCCTCTCTTCCTCAGCCCTAAAACAACCTCTGCTGTCTCAAGGGAAGGGTGCTGGTGATGGAATGGGTCTTGGCAGAAGACAGATTCCCTGCAAGGCATCACCCTCAAACGAGCTCAGGCAGATAGTGATGTATTTAAAATTTCTGGTGCCAGAATTCAGCAGGAAGGAGCCTGGCTCCGAGAAGGGCTGCCGCCTGTGAAGCCCACAGGGCACCAAAGGGTGCTGTGGGCCTAGGATTGCTGTTGGTTGGGCTGGCAGGTGCTGGGGTGGAGCTGTGGAGGCCTTGCTGGTGGGTTATAGGATGTGGGTAAGCTGGGGGTGATGGGGACCAGCGTGGAGGGGAGGTCCTGCTGGGGGTGAATTTTTGCCAGGGGGTAGTAGGGAATTTATAGCTTGGGGTGTGTTGGTGGCTGGGTGTGAGGTGCCAGGAAATGATGACATGACAGGGCTCTGGGTGGCTGGGGAGCGGGTACCGGGTATGGATAAATGTGACAGGCCATTTGAAACAGAAGTATTACAGCTGGTCTTTTTGCTTCCGGCGTTCTCCTGCCTGGGTGCAGCTGCCTTTCCAGGGAAGCCTGCGATTCCCTGCATAGCTCACTGCAACAGGCTACTCTTCACTCTGCCCATCTTTTATTTTGGCCATGCTGTTCCCTGGCCAAAGCCACGTGGGAGGCGGCTACCATGGTTGTGAAGCTTGACTCTCCCCTCACTTAACTTTTCCCCTGAAGACCCCAAAGTTTTTGTGCAACCAGTCTGAAACTTGCTACCTCCCTTCCCCAGATTCAGTGGAGCATGGCATGTTCTCAAACCTGATGCTGAGTGAGCCTGAAGAGAGCCCATCTATGAGCATCAACTTTTCGCCCCTCAGCATGCTTCCCCACCTGGCCGACCTGGTTAGCTACAGTATACAGAAAGTGATCGGCTTTGCCAAGATGATCCCTGGGTTCAGGTGAGAAGGGTGTGCATGGGTGTGGGGGTCTTGTCTCTGCTTTGTGCTTTGGATCGAAGCTGTCCTTATAGCGAAGGTGCTTTGTACAGAGTGCCAGGTTAGAAAGCCATGCTGGCGTGAACTGCTCGGAGAGATGCAACTGCAAGGGGAAGGGGCACCATCAGATGCTACTGGCTGATAATCCTCATGTTCTCAGGATCAGTTGCTAAAGGCACTTAGCGCTAAAAAGCTCATCTGAATGATGACGACAATGTGGGCTCCATTTCCCGTGGCTGCAGGACACAAGTGCTCTGTTTTTCTCTGAAAATGACAGGCCCAGCAGCTGCGGTTCTCTAATCTCCCTGCTGGCAGGGACAGATCATTATTCAGTCCCAACATTAATCTCGAGCTTGAGCGGGATTTCTAATGTGTTCCTGCCATACCAATAAGGCCAGATGACAAAGCGAGCCCCTGGCTTACCAAATAATACTAGGGTCCTTTTTTCTCCCCCACGCCAAGCTCAGTTAAGCATTTTAAATGTGGGCCAACTACTGTAAATCACAAGTGTCTCACTCCGACTTCAGTTCTTACTTCACTTTACCATGCTGGTTCCCTTAGCCCCAGCAGTTTTCTTTTTTTTTGGAGAGGAGGCAGAGGACAATTATCATACAAGTGGCTCTTTGCTTGCAGGCGTATTTCCAAACTGGGGAAGTTGACACTTGGTAGTTTGCAAACTAGATCTGAGGTCTCATTGGTTTTCTTTCTCCTCCCTTCTCTCCCTGTGTTCAGGGATCTCACGGCGGAAGATCAGATCGCCCTGCTAAAGTCCAGCGCCATTGAAGTCATTATGCTCCGCTCAAATCAGTCCTTCACCTTGGAGGACATGTCATGGAACTGCGGCAGCAATGACTTCAAATACAAAGTCAGTGATGTTACCCAAGGTAAGGGGGCTTCTAAATGCCAGCCTACCCTGAGAACAGCACCGGTCCGTGACAGCTCTGTGACATGAGGGATGAGGAAACTGTGTCCAGGTCTGATTCTCCAGGCCTTAAATGCAACAATCTGCTGATTCCACTTTTGAGGATGTAACTGGAGATTCGCGTAGGTTTGGGGAGGATACAAAGATACAGCAATAACAGACAGATGAGCTGACTGGTGCTGCATGGGAACTTACCTCCTACGTGAGCCCCATGAGCACTGCAAAAGATGCACATTGAACAGTATGAACATAGAACGATCCAATCAGTAATTGGAAAATAACCATTCAAATATTGAAAAACAGCAGATGTCTGGGGAAAGAGAGAGATCCCCTAATCTCTTAGGGCATGATGTGATGCCAAGAAGTTCTCCCTGCAGGCATTATCCCCTCCTCCTCCACCTATTTCTACTTGTTTTAGTGTTCCCACTCCCAAAAAAGGAGCCTGTGTTCAACGCTAATTTTATATTAAACATTTTTAAGGAGCTAAGTACAACCTTGGAGTCAAGAAGATTTGCCTGAAAAATGAAGCTAAGGAGCTCAGGCTGTTTAGTTTGTTGGAGAGGAGGTCAAGAGGCAACTTGATCTGTCTTACACGCACGCACACAAAAAGATTGTCTGAAATGGATGTAGTTGGTGGAGGTGACACGGGAGCCAGTGGCTGGAGGTTGAAAGTAAAGGGAAAAAATTGAACTAAAAAGAAGATGTAAATGCCTGACAGAACAAGGAGCAATGGTCTCATGTTGCATCAGGGGATGTTGAGGTTACATATAAGGAAAAACTTTCTCACTAGGAGGGAAGTAAAACACTGGAACAGGTAACCCAGAGAGGTGGTGGACGCTCCATCCTTGGAGGTTTTTAAGACCTGGCTAGACAAAACCTTGGCTGGGATGATGTAGTTGGGGATGGTCCTGCTTTGAGAAGGGGGTTGCATTAGATGTGAGCCCCTGAGGTCCCTTCAACTCTCCTTTTCTGTGATTCTTACTAAGCCACCCTAGGGATGAATTGGATTCAGTCACTGGGAGCCCTGAAATCAAGATTCTGGGATGTGGTAGGGGGTTAATTTTTCAAAGGCTCTTAAGTCACCTGTCAGGTATCCAGGTTGTCTTGTTGGTCTAATAAAAGATATCATCTCTACTACAAGTCTTGATTGCCTTAAGTCACCTGGGCACTTAGGAGTCTAAAATCTTTTTGAAAGTCACTGGGTCCAGTGCCTCCTACATGCTGAGGTCAGTTTTTGAAAATGGAACTTAGACTCTTATGTTTCTTAGCTGCTTTGGGAAGGCAGCAAGAGTAACATTTGAGAGAGGCTCTAATTCAACTGCACGCTAACTGGCTCAGTGCAGGAAGCCCTGAGGGAGACTCTCAGACCTGTGCTGTGGAGGCATACGGAGGATGTGGTGAGAACAGTCCGTTCTAGCCTTGAAACCTAAATGCCCGCATCTCCACCTGAGTTGCTGCTATCTCTGTACCAGTAAAGGGAGGCAGATTAGACAGATTAGCAGAGGAAGAATGCACTCCTGTTATGACAGCAAATGCAGGGAAACAACCTATTGGTGGAAGAGGGGTGGAAACTCAAGCCACCGTGCATGTAAAGAGTCTGCTGGTCACAGAGTACAGATACCTGGCATGTGGGTAAGACACAGAACGACTGTACATCTTCCCAATCCCGGCTTCAGACACCAGCTGACTGGAGTCCATGTGCAGAACTTTCCAAACTTTGCAAGTGCTAACGATGGCTTTTCCTGAAGGAGCGGGGTTTTTGTGAATGTGCAAGATGCCAGCTGTGTGCTGAATCCCTGAAAGACAGACCAAGACAATGCCCCTTCTCCCAAACCTCACGACGTAGCAAGAGTCTTTGCTCTGGAAAGAGGCCTTGATACAAAATTCTTCCTAGAGCTCTGAGTCTGGATTGAGATATGGTGATGGAGCTGCAGGAGGAGAGAGGACCTCCTGGCTAGAGCAGCAGGCTCACATCTCTCTGTAAAAACCAAGCAGCAAAGGTTTAGTTGCTTCCTCTGTCAGGAGACCTGGCATTTAGAAATCATCAAATGATAAAAAATAGGAAGGGACCTCAGGAGGTCCTTCAGGAGGTCCTGAGGTTGGAAGGGACCTCAGGAGGTCCAGCAGGACCAGCCCCAACTACATTATCCCAGCCAAGGCTTTGTCAATCTGGGCCTTAAAAACCTCCAAGGATGGAGATGCCACCGCCTGTCTGGGTGACCTGTCCCAGTGCTTCACCACCCTCCTAGCGAGAGAGTTTTTTCTAATATCCGACCTAAACCTCCCTTGCTGCAGTTTGGTGAAGAAACATTCAGCCTTTCCCATTGACCAAACTGCCCCCACTGAGCTAAGGGACTTGCCCACCCCTGTATCACTGTGACATTGGGCTTTGCTGCTACCAGTGGCAAAGAGCTGCCCTGACAGGTGCATTTTGTTGTCTTCTAGCGGGTCACAACATGGAGCTGCTGGAGCCACTTGTGAAATTCCAGGTGGGCTTGAAGAAGCTGAACCTGCACGAAGAGGAACACGTGCTCCTCATGGCCATCTGCATCCTCTCCCCTGGTAAGAGGGATTCCATCTCCAACAGCACGTCCTCTGCTCCGAGACAGCATGGGAGCAGCTTGCATCCGCACCCAGAAAATGGGGCCTACAAAACTCATGGCTAAGACCGTGCAGAGCCTGGCCCATGACTTCAGCTCCCTCAGCCACTGCTGAGTGTGAGAGAGAGACACAGGGTGTGATCCTGCAGGCAGCAGGTCAACCTAAGCTGGATTCCCCTTCCCTGTGAAAGAGAGAGGAGAAGGCCAGCAGGGCCCTCTGGATTCTAGAGACAGCTCCTTTCTTTGGCCAGAAATAGCCCTTTTTTTTCTTTTTGGTGAGTGACCTTCTCCTGGGCAGGCTGCAAAAAGTACCTGATTGCAGAGGATGTGGTAGAGGGTCGTGAGAACTGCACCCTCAGCATGGGGATGGAAAGAGGGTCCTGCTGAAGTCATGGGTGGTGACAGTGCAAGGGTGCTGAGATGAATACTTGGCTATCTTAAATAAGTGGTCGCCTCTTCAGTCCTCCCTACAACTTGAATCCAGCCCATAGGGTTAGATAGGGCCTCAAGGTTAGTTTGGTCCAGCCTCCTGCTCAGATGCAGGATTCATGGTCCCTAAAGCATCCCAGACACCAACATCCCCAGCTCCTGAAGCCCTTGGAGACTGGACAAGTACCTAGCTGGGGTCGTCTGACCCGAGTGCTCTTTCCTGCCCAGGGCAGGGGGTCGGACTCGATGACCTCTGAGGTCCCTTCTGACCCCAACATCTATAAATCTATGAACATCCCTGGACGTCCCTGTCCAGCTCTCCTGACAATGAGGAAACTTCTGCTGGGTTTGATCTAACTCTATGATGGTGTTTCCTAGACCGCCCCGGCGTGCAGGACACCACGCTAGTGGAGACTCTTCAGGACCGCCTCTCCAATATCCTGCAGAGCTACATCCGGTGCCGACATCCTCCCCCGGGCAGTCGCTTGCTCTACGCCAAGATGATCCAGAAGCTGGCGGATCTGCGGAGCCTCAACGAGGAGCATTCCAAACAGTACCGCTGCCTCTCCTTCCAGCCGGAGCACAGCATGCAGCTCACGCCACTGGTCCTGGAAGTCTTCGGCAATGAAATCTCCTGATTCTTTTTCTGGATGCAGGGATAAGCACCCAGAAATAAAAGGATAAGTCAGGCCAGCTTCCCTTAGGTGAGCAAATTGAGAGGGGTGCCCCTTAGCAGGGGGTTGTATATAGGTAGATCATTTTCACACTACTGGAAGTCCTGTGTTGTCTGCGCACCAGCAGTCACCTGGGTCAGCTTTCTGCAGAGCGGCGAGCAACCCAGCCAAGCATTTATTTCCCCCCTCCATTGAGTGGCTTTTCTCCTTGCCTTCCTTCTGGAAGCGGCCGATTTATCCCTTTCTGGATGTCGTAAGGCTGGCTGCAACCTTCGTGCTCGGACCCTGCCTCACACCAGCTCCTATTTTATTTTATTTTTATTCTTTGTTCATGTGTTCTACAAAGGAAAACCTCAAACTGGCAGCTCCAATGCTGGGCCATGTGGAAGAAGAAATGGGCAGGGATTTCTCACAAACTGATGTTCCTGGCTGAGAGGAAGGGTGTCCTTTTTCTAGCTCTCCCTCCATTCCCCTTCCTAAAACACTTGTACCTGGGTGCCATTCAGGTAGGGTTTCTGCCTTGTTCCATCTCAAAGTAAATCCCCACATGTGAATCCCTGCCTTCTGCTGCTGGCTGCAGAGCACCACCTGCTTGTTCAGCGCTAAAAAGAGGTTTTGATCTAGGAAGAATTTAAAAACTTGCCTTTGGTGGGACTGATTCCTTGAGTCTCCATCTCCTCAGAGAGAGCTTTGTTTGCCAGGCGCGTGTAATTGGAGGATGCTCCGAAGCCATGGTACGCTGTGGTCACTGCATCGCCATTAACGTGACAAACGGACAGGATGTCTGAGCTCACCCGGTCTCAGGGATTGCGGTGTTAAGTGCCATGCAGGTGTGCGAGAGAGCAAGAGGAATCCACGCTAGCCAACAAGCAGTGCCAAGTCTGCTCCTGCCATGTTTCAAACACTACTAGTGGGCGAGATAAGAAATTGGAGAACCCACAGGGACCTACAGTCCCCCCCGACAGCCTGTGATCTGGACGACAAAGGGCTGCTTGGCAGATCTGCTGAGCCTGCTAAGTGTGAGGTCTTATGATAGCTCCCTCTGCTTCTATGGAGTTCCCCCTCTGTGCCCTAAAAGACCCCATTTTGCAGCAAGATTGCAGCCTTTTCTAGAGGAGTCCTTGTTTCTCAGCAGGAACATTTGCAATAATGAAGGAAGGAAGCCGCTGCAACGTTCATAGACAGGCCCAACCCAGAACAGGCCTGAGATGAACCAGCCTAGGCTCTGCAGAGTTTTTTCTTTGCAGTGTAGGAGCCCTGTTCCCACCATGGGAAGGGCCCAGACTCCACCATAACTATACCAACACTTGTATCGTGCTCACATCTACAGACACATCAGATCAGAGGCCCCATTGTGCAAAGTGCTGTCCAGACCCACAGCAACTGGTAGGGGCTGGTGGAGAGAAGCAGAGATCTCCAGTGCCTGAAAGTCTGACACTAGGAAGAGGGAAGGCAAGACTGAAGAGAAGCTGCCAGCCAGAGAAGCAAGAGCATCACAGGTCCCTGCATGGAGTCACGTGGGATATCCTGTATGGCAGAGGAGAGGCTCTGTTTTGTATACTATGGAAATTTGCTATCTACTAACCTGAACATCTCTCAGACAGCCACTGCTGCCACTGCAAACGAGATATTCATTTCTCTAATCCCAGAGAATCATCTAGCGGACGGCTCACGCATGGCCAAGCTGCTGCCTCCTCTATCTTTTGCACTAACACTGGAAGGCTCTTGTTGCATTTTGCCTCTAGAAAGTCACCAGCATGGAGCAGACGAGCATAAGCCTCAAGTGTGTTTCAAGCCATTTCTCCCACATACCAAATTTCCAAGCACATCTTATAGGGGTGTGCATTCGCCTGGACTGAGAGGTTTGGGACAAGGGAAATGTCCCTATTTTAACAAAGTGTAGAGTCACAAAATTCTTGATTCTGGAAGCAAAATGCATTTAGCCTACAACAGAGGCTAAACAGTGACTTCACTGTTAGATTCCACCCATCTATTCTTGTGGGTTACATGAAATCAGAGTACTTCTCCCCACGTTCATTTTTGTTTTGTCCCTGGGGCTGCATCACATACTTCTCCCTGAAAAGCAACCTGTACCAATAGCCTCCATATCCAGGTACTTGCTGCTGGAGATCCAGGATTGTATTTAACTATATACAGGGGGAGGGTGATATGCCTGAAAAGCTGAATTTGAAAGAATAGGAAAGCCCTGGTGTGATGTCGTCATCTGCTTTTTCAAAGGGTGTATCAGCACGTCAGCACTCAAACGCACTTTAAATGGGCAGAGTTCAGGAGCGTGGGTAGCAGTGTGTGTGTGTGTCTGTGTCTGTGTGTGTGTGCGTGTGTGTGTGCGTGTGCGCACGCATGTGCACATGTCGGTCTTTTAAAAGACAGAGGGTTTTTTTAAGACGGGTCTATAAACATTTACTAAGGGGAATTTGATTCATACCCAGGGTTAAAAAAAAATGTTTTTTTAAATCCGTGAGTCTGGAATGATTAACAAACTCCTCGGATTTATCCTGGGAAACAGATTATCCTGTCTAAAATAACGCCCAGCCTCTTCTGGCAAACTGCCTTCAGCCCAGCCGTTGTTGCGAAAAGGGCAAGAATGAAAGCGGATCCTTGGACAACAACGTGCCTTGAGCTCGCTTCTAGTGCAGTGAATGTCCCTCCTGCCATCCTCCCGAGCCTCCTAAGAAAATCACTGTGTCTTAATACAATTGTCAGCTTTTTTTGGTGCCTTAAAACACAGATGTGTCTTGTATCCCGGCTGTGACCTGTTGCTGCTGATGTCTCATCTGCCTCTGCAGCTTCATTCTGCGGTCTTTTATCTAGTCCTGCTGGATCCTGCGTGCTACCTGGTTCTCCTCCTGGGTCGTTTGCCCCTCCACCCCCAGTCTGAGCAGTCTCCTTGGGCCTGCTCACTCATAGCAAAAATTCAATGTCTGCAAAGACTTTCTCCGTTACATGCATGCGCTTCACGGCCTCGGCGCTCTGCTAAATGCCTGTCCTCTTCCTGCAGCGAAGGCTGCCTGTCTCAGCCCTGGTGACTTTCTGTCACTCTTGGGACCTGCTTCCACCCTCCTGCCTCATCTGTCTCTTCCTGGTTTCCTTCTGGGGCTAAATCAGTGCTGGGCACTGCAGCATCCTTGTTCTTTCCTCCAACTTCCAAAAGTCTCTTGCAATCTGAGCTTCTTGCATAAAGGGGGTGAAGCCAAATGCAATTTTTCATGGGGGTGGGAGTGACATTTCCAAGGAGAACAACCTCCAGAGGAAGCCCGAAAGCTTTCTGGGCGGGAGCAAACAACGGGATGGTTCCCCAAACGTGCTGAAGCGATTCCTTTAGCCAAGCACCCAATTTATCCATAAGGAAGCACTGCCTCGAAAATGGCTCCAACCCTCCTCCCAGCAACTCATCCCGTGGTGCCTGCGCCTTTGAGCTGCCTCCTATCCGCTTGCACCCAAGCAACATGTTGGGCCCCATTTCTGAAGGGTGGGGGAAGAGGTCTGTTCTTGACCCCAACGTGCTCCATCTCCCCCCATCCTCTCCAGGCTCCTTGCAGTCCTGCTGCTGAGATAGCTAGCCCTCTCCACAGGTTTCCTGCATCCAGCTGTGTATCTCCTTGCCTTCCCTCCTCCACGCGATCCACCCATGTTCTTCTGGGGCTTGCCGTTCCCTTGGCCCCTTGGCCGTGCTGTCGATGATGCGCCTTGTTTCCATGCTGCTGCTACTGCTTGGATCAGGTCTTCTGTTCCCAAGCCGAGCTCCCATGGGAAGTAAGCAACCCAACTCTGGGTACCCTGCCCTCCCAAACCAGAGCCCCCTTCCCGTCACACCCACTCGTGCCATTTAGACTGGCAGCTGTTCAGGGCAGGGACGTTTATGGCTGCACTTCACCCGCAGCCATCGCTGAAAATGATGGGAGGCCTCTTGGTGTTTTGCATCTGTGCCGCTAGCAACATATCCCCTTTGCAGACTGGAGGAGAGGCGTTGTGCCGGACTGAGCTCGATCTCCTTCAGGATGGAAATTTGGCCATCACGAGGCCCCGCAACCTGCTGGCCATCCCCAGCCCATTGGGGTGGAAGGGGAGACCTCGTCCCAGCTGCTCCCGCTTCGAATAGGCACGGGACTGTTCCCTTTTCAGGGGCTCAGATGTAGGGGGCTTTAAAAATAGGAGGAGGCCAGATATAATTTGGAAGTGGTCAGGGAATGGACGTGGCTTCCACAACTGATCTTTTCTTTTTAAATTTATTTCACAACTCTCAGATCCCATCTTCAATGGGAAAACGTCTGATGTTGTGGGATTTCCTGGTTTCTGGAAATGGAATTTTCCAAAAAATATCCTTTTTTCCTTCAAAAGACCCTTTTGAATGAGCTGTGATGTAACCCAGTGTTTGAATGACACCCATGACTCCCGCACGCTCTCAGCCCAAGCTCAGCACAGCCACCCGACGTGCCACGGCTGCGATTATTATTTTTCGGCGGCTATAAACTGCGTCTTACCCCTATAATTCCAGATTTACATCAGCATTGCTGTGCCACAAAGCGACAGCTGCTGCGTGAAGGTCCGTTCTGTGTATATCCTGCTTCATGTCTGCCGTTCTGGGTAAACCAATGCATGGAAAAGGCCATGGGCAAGAATTAGCACTGCAATAAATGTTGAGAGAAACTCAGCACGTCAGGGACCAGAAAAAACACAGGTCTGATATAATCTCAGCTAGAAGAACGTGTGTTTTTTTGGGGGGTGGGGGGATAGTGTTGGTTGGCTTTTTAATATTGAGCCTGTTAATAAAAAAATTATATATATATCTGTATCTCTCTATATCTTTATCTATCTATATATAGATAAATATAGATATATCTATCTATATAGATAGAGATATAGATAGTTGTAGATCTATCTATATTGGTAGAGATATAGATAGATGTATCTATATATATAGAGATAGGGATATAGGTAGATCTACATAGATAGAGATAGATAGATAAATCTATCTATATCTATATAGATAGATATCTATCTATATAGATATACATATATGTTATGAATCCAAGGAATAATTGCAACAAATTATCGGATGATTGGTTGTTGACATGTACATAACTATTTAATATAGGTGGAAATGCTTTATTGTAAACTGTAAATTGAATTTTAAACCTAGAAATCGTATTTAAAGCTGCTTTTGGGTTGGTAGACGCGGCAACGCTCCCCCGTCCCCTCCTCTTCGGCGTGTAAAACAGGCACATACAATCCCACGAGACACTTCTGACTGTGAAACAGATTTCTGTCGTTGCCTTGTGTACTAGAGGACGGGAACGCCGTGCACTTTATCTGTAGGA